CATTAGTGCTCTTCTATTAATTAATCCATGTTTTTTTTTTTTTTTTTTTTTTTTTTTTTTTTTTTTTTTTACAGAGAGTTTCATTGTTTACAGTACTTTCTTTGTTTACATGATGGCACGATGGAAAGTGTAAATCGTTCTTTTATATAATTGAAATGAGAGTTACTGAGAATGTAGTGATTTACTATTTAATGGGCATAATTTACATTTACAAAAACATAATTCTAACTTCAGTTAAAATTTAAAATAAATTAAATGAACTAAAATTACTTAAATTAAAATACTTATAAGCATTGAGGATATCTTCTAATTCTTTAGTTTTTCACATATAAAACAATAAATATATTAGAAAAAAATTTTTTTAAATAAAACTTGGGTGTTACGGTATTAAGATCGAATAATTTCGTCAAGAGCTTTAATCATAAGATGAAAATATTTCTTTGTTTTAATAATATTAAATTATGTGCGATTGAAGCAAATAAATATTATAAAGAAAAAATAAATAAATAAAAAAGCAAGTTTTTAAATAAGGATTTCGCTTGTATTTATAAGGTTTCATTTCTACATCAACTATTTCACTAATTTATTTGTTAAACATTTGTGCCACATCAATATTCTTTTTCTTGTAATCATAGTTCTTGCAGAGCCTCGTAATTCTTTATGGGTCAGTTTATCTTAAAAATATATATTTATCAACCTTTCCTTACAATGCATATACATTGCCGCAAAGATGGTAACCTGCCGACAATTGTTGAATTATCAATTGTTCTAGTATAACTCCATTATTAATGGTCTGCAAAACTCTTACAACATTTCGGCGCGTAAATTAAGCATACTTTTGTACACTGAAAATATATACAATTTACATCTTTTACGAATTTATGACATTAAAATACAAACTTTCTAAGCATACGTATGGTGTACAACAGAAAAAGAAATGAATTTAATGTTACTTTAAATTTATTTTTATTTAGTTAACAGACTCGATATTATATTTGCATTTTAAGTTAAAATTAATGTTTAATAATTTCGTAATAATCAATTCATAAAACTGTACTATCATTTATTCATTTCTGGTATTGCTTTTACATTAAATTGACATTTTGATATTTTGCATTTCTTACACTTGAAATCTTTTACTATCGCGCCCATATTCTTGTGCTTACTAATAAATAATATGATATATCTGCCATTCGACAATTTTTATGCATATATCCTGCAAAACTTGCTTATCTCATTCTATTCAAAGCCACAAAGTAATAATTATTGATAATTTTCAATAACTTTAATGAGATAATTAATGCCAAATATATATTCAACACGCCTATATTAATTTTACTTTGCAGAACTACGATGTTTTACAAAACTATTTTCTATTTGCAATATATTATTATTCTAGATTTTAATTAACGTAAATGAGAACTTTGCAATTTAATCTTGTCGTTAACAATGTGATTTCAAAGCACTACACAATTTTAATTAAAAAAATTTCTAATTTAACTATAGGACATATAATAAAAATTAAAATTCACACATAATTTATTATATATTATATATATTTAAAAACAATAGATTTGTTAAAAATAGGATAAACATTAATTATATAAATTGTGAAAGATGTTGGCAATCTATGCTATTTTTAAGATACTACTTATCATCATTTACCTGATTGCCAATAAAAATATTTAAAACCCTGAAATTTAATAGCCTATATGAATCTCATTTAGTTAACTAAACTGGTAAAGATCAATTAATAGTTCTACAAAAAGGCAAAGCACAGTGTCGTTAAAACGCTAATGACTAAGTACTTTTACAGAATTTTAGAGATGGCATATTCCAGTAAGAATAGGTTGAATTCTAATGTGCCTCTTGAATTCTCAATATTTATTGGATATCAATTAAAGTTGTGTAATGATATCTAATGGCACGATTTATGCTTTTCAACTTTATACTGTGCAATAATCGAATACGATTTAATTTTTTTTTTTACTTTACATTCATATGTTGAATGTTTTATTTTAAAATATGATGAATACTGTTCTTACATTTTATAAAAGAAATTAATACTGTTTACTATTCTGAATAATATGTGATAAAATAAAAGGTCTAATATTATTATCGTATATTGTTTATTTCTTTTGCGCTATTATTATGAATATCTTATACTTCTTATTCCAATAAAACTGTTTTACTCAAGTAATAGGAAAGGTTAGAAAGTGGTGATCAATTCTTATGAATAATTCATAATTGACATTATTCCTTTACCATGAATATTTTAAAGAAATATATTAAAATTTTACTATGATATATATATATATATATATATATATATAAATATATATATGTGTGTGTGTGTGTGTGTGTGTGTGTGTGTGATTAATGTTAATACTTTAAAAATTAACTTATATTTTTGCGTATAACATGAATAGCATAATTAAATATCTAAGTTTCGTATTTAATACATTAATTTATATTACGCTATGTTACACAAAACCTTAATATACATAGCAAAGATAATAGAAACATTGTAATAAATATTATATTGTGAAATATTTGATATCACACTCTATTTGATCATGAAAAGAAAGATTTTACAAAATAATGACAATGTAAAAATATCTAGTTTTATGTACTATTTCGATCTTCTCTTGATATTGAATTAAATGAACAAATATTATGTTATATAGATAATGTAATATAACATGCATTTTAGCTTTTTATAAGACTGACTATCATACTTCTTCTTTTAACCAATCCAAGTTGAAGAAGAGACTAAAAGATTGGAAGAAAAATTAAGTAAGGCCGTGACGAGTAAATGTGAAAATGGGTCAGCGAATGTTTCACATATGACGCCTACGGTCAACCTTACGTCACCGTACAACGTTTTCTTGATGTAAGCTTGCCACGCTTATGATTACTATCACGTCTATACTGATGTGTAAATGTATCATAAACGTTGATGTTTAGAGTCTTAATATTCGTAAGATTAAAGCAAGAAGCGTGACATGCGTTATTGTTATCATTGCTGAGTCTACGAGTTACTGAGAAATTATATAAACACAGATTATGTTATACGTATATTATTCATTTTTTTTCTCCCCAAGTTTTAGTTTTTTTATTTTGGTTTTTAACGACTAGAATTTATCTGCCGATCTGCCGTATTTTACTCGTAAATTATAATTTTCATTACTAATGTATTTGGATGTTTCAAGGAAAAACAAAATCACAAGTATATTTGCATTTGAAATTTTACTGTTAGAGAATTAAAAGATTTTTATAACTGAAAGTAAAATTTATGTACTTTTATAATTAAAGGTAATTTATTCAATGACTTCATTCTGAAAATAAGTTTTAAGCTAAAGTCCATAAAAGTGTGCCTTTTATTATATAATAGACAAAGTTTGTTGATTTCATTTATTACGTGTTGGAAATATCTTTTTATGAAATTCAGTATAACTTTAAACAATTACATTTCATGCTATAATAAAAATAAACGATAATGAGTTACAGACTGTTTATTTATAAATATATTTATATATTTATAAATAATCAACATCAACGTGAAGTTAATAAATTGAAAATAACTTAAGAATATATTTTTTCATAATATTTCTTTAATTATGTAAAAAAAATCAAAATTTTCTATAAATCTATCGTAGAAAAGTATGTGTGGTATAAAAATGAACAAAATTTTTTTTTTACACATATCAACGTGTCACATACGTGTATATGAATATAATACGTTCAATATAAAATATCGTTCAATTTACAGTTTCTGCTAAACAAAACATTATATATATATATATATTCACATAATAAGAGATAAAGTCATGGCACAAGAACTTTATAATATTGTTTCGTTTTATTTTAGCAATAAATTGTAGCATGTAATAAGTATACAATATATTTTCTACACTCTCTTTATTATACCTGCATTTTTCTATATGGTGGTAGAGTAGATGGAGAAACTTTGTCGTAGCAATTTGTGGGAACGAACAGAAAAATAAAGAGTTCATGCGTATGAGAGAGGGAGAAAGAGAGAGAGAGAGAGAGAGAGATTGAAAGAGAATCATAGAATGGAAGAAGCCAGGCGGCCAACGTGCTGTTGTAGAACTTAGGTGACGCGACCGACAAGTACGACGCGTCGAGATATAATGTTTAGCGTTTAGTGTTTAGCTGTGAACAGTGCATACCAACCTTGTCGCTTTCACGCCATTTTCTCTCCTATGTTATCTACAGTTCTACAGTTCGTCGTAAATATCCTGGATATCTGTTTAGACAGTGCAGTACGAAAGAGAAACATTTTTCCGGATGCTCGTCTGGATCGTCCATTGTACTCGCGTCCTGTCGCGACAGCGATACACCGCGTTTCGCGAAGCATTTCTTTTTTTGTTTCACCTAGTACCGTTAGCTCGTGTATCTACGTATGTAATAGCTACGACAACTGCATGTTTTCGTATATATAGTTTTTAAGAAGAATTCATATAAAATTAAATACCTTTTATACTGATATCTTAAGGTAATTTTAATTATTTATTAGATATACCAATTTATTAGATTATTACTATTAAGAATGACAATGTAGGTAAAGCTTAATAAATTAAAAATAAATTTGTTGTTAAAAAGGTAAAATCTATTAGTCATCGATAACTATTAATATTTTACTGATAAAAAGACAAATATATAAAAAATATGTATTTTTTCATTGTTCAAGTCCTAGATTTTGACTACATATAAAGTATGTCTGATGAATCGTTGATTTTTCTCCTTATTTCCATACAGCATAATAGTTGAATCATAATGTACTTATGATTAAGGAATTCACCGTGATTATATTGCTTTATAAATTCACGACTACATTTATATTAATCACCATCTCGATTAACTTAACCATTAAGCGATTATGATTTTAAAACATTCCTTACTTTCTCCACTTCGATAAAAAAAAGTCTAAGACATTCATAGATAATTCTCACAAAATGTTTCTTTTTTTTTCACAGATGACCTCAACGGCTCCTCAGGTTTGGGAGTGGGGTTAGAGTGTAAGTGGGAGTTTGGGGAGGCAAATTGTTTCGAGGCAGCCATGTGGCTTCTGATGTATAGTTGCCTTGCAATATTGTCGGCAACGCAACAATCGCAAACAGGTACGTATTATACACTTAAGATATGACGTAGGCTCAGGGGCCTCGTAATTTTTCGCCTTTCACACTTTAATTCCCACAGTGGATATTACTGAAATTTTATGTTCAAAAGGAACGTTCGTTTGAATCAATTATAATGTAGCAAACTGGAAAATTACTTTTTTGTTAATGCAAGGATAGGTCATTTTTGGACAATATCTAATTTAAAAAATTAGGATCTAAATAAAAAAATTTAATTCTATTCACGCGCTGGTTGTACAACTTCCACACGCATAAAATATATTGAGCCGAATACATGAAATGTATTTATGAAAATCTAACATGATACTTTTTATCTTTTTACAATGTTAATTTAATATAATAAAACTTCAAACTCATAATTCAATTACAAAGCCGTTTAATTAAATTACAAATCATATTCATACAAACAAAAAATAATAATTGCTGAAAGACTAAGCTTTCAGTCAGGTTACTTTTATGAAAACCGTTAAACAGCTTTTATAAATAAACAATAATATTAATTTGCTCTAATTTTTAATCAAATTGAATGATATCAATAAACTATATCAAGATAATAGAAATTAATATAATAGAATGATAATTTATTGTATTCTATTATACGTATATTGAATAAAATTCATAATTTTTTATACATTAAATTTTTGTATTTATTTTTTAAACAAGAAATTTCATAAATATAGTATAAGTATGATTGAAGCCCGCTTGGGGCAATGGATGTTATATGTAGGACAATCACATTAACACAACGAAATAGAGAATCCATTTATGAACTCAACGCATGAGGTCGTGTACTTTAAATCCGATAATGCACGTGCATTGACAAACATTTATTTGTCATTATTATTTTATAATAATAAACTTATTATTATTAGGTAATTGTAATGAAGTAATTATTTTTGCTGCGTACATTGTTTTGAATACATTGTCCGAATATCTTTAAAATTTCTAGAAGTATTGTATTCATAAATATACTCATTCTTTATTTTCTAACCTGAAAAAAAAATCTAAATAATCGATATTGAATTTCAGTATCATAAGAGTCATCGTATTTATAAATATTATGTACTTTAATAAGTAATTACAGTTGAAAATATTTATAAAAAAATATTTTTCTATATTATGTTATAAATATTTATCAATTTATATATATATATATATATATATATATGTCGATTAGTTGAAAATATAATTTATCGTATAACAGCTAATTATATCGTAAGTATTTATAGGAATTTTTATAGGGGATTGAAGAATACTTAAAATATATTCATTATATATTATTATTAGTTACAATAAATTTTGCAGCTGGATAGACATTCATGTTCAATATGTTTGAAAAATATAATGATCAAAGATGTATTAATTAATGTCTTTTGTATAAACAACTTTAGTAAAATTAAGCATGATATTAACAATTATATGGGCATGTTATGTTATAATCAATTTGTAAATATAAGATGTACTTAATGAAAGTTCACAATAATAACTATATATTATACATTAACTATTATTAACATATATAAATTAACAATATCAACTATATATTATACACAATATCTATTATTTACCGAGAAATAAAATTTAATTTTAACATGAATATATCATTATAATATTTTTGCAAAATGTAAAATTATATTGAATGAATGATAACTAATGATCTCGAAAATAAAAAATAGGAATATTCCTAATATGATAGAAATTTTAATTTGAAGCTAGTCTGAACTACAAGTACGTATACTTTCGGCTACTCAAAAAAATTTCAAAGCTCATATTTGAAAGTTTAATTTCTTAAATAATAAGTAAATATGCCAAATAAATCATACATCAATTTTTAAAAACAATTTATAAACAGTGTGAAATTAAAAAAATTATATTAAAATAAATATTAAGAATGGTGTAAATTATAACCGCTAATATATAGTAATTTCCAACTGCTATTAATTTAACAATTTGAGAATTGATTTTTTTTTTATAGAGCACAACAATCTGCTTATGTTTAAATATTATAATCATTTTATATGATCTATATTAAATAAAATATTTTATACTTAATAATATAAAGAGTATAAGATCTCAAATACTTGCTATAAAAGTAAAATAATTGTATAAAAGTTTTATTAAAAGTTTGGTTCTTCAAGAAATTCAGAATTCTAAATTCTGAAATCGGCAATAAAGAATATCAAATAATCTATATTTTATAAGTAAATTCTAAATTCTATTATATGTCTCTTTATCTATGTATATATATATATATATATATATATATATATATATATATAATTTTTTTCAATTAGTCGCACAGAAATGAGTATGTTACACCGAATTCAATAAATAATAATATTCAATTATTAAAGAATAAATGATCGATTTGAATTGAAAAGAAATTAGTAACTGTAATTTGAATTTTATTGTACGTAATACGTGTCTTATTGATTTGTTAAGTTTTTGCAGACAAATAGCATGACCAGTGACATTCAATTTCTATGACTTGAATTATATTTAAGCAGCTTAGACTTCCATGAAGCTCACAAAAATCATTATTTCATTCAAATATTAAAATTATTATTTTATATAAATATGATACGAGTAAAAGAGTTTCAAAGATAATGAAAATTAAGATATCATTGAATAAAGATTTTTATATTGTCCTGATATTATAATCAAAAAAAAAGAAAATTTTTTTAATTTAATATTCCTACCCTTCATATTGAATAATTTCTTATCAAAAAATTAAATATATTTTTCAGAAAATAATATTTTATAAATTCATTGCATATAATGTTAGTAGAATTTATATTCTATATATTTGACATTTTATGAACATATTGTATACGTTACAATTGAAAAAAAAAGTATGTTATATTTTCAATTATTTATATGCCTCATAAGTTATTTTTATAAAATGTTTATTTAATAGAAAGAGAAAAACTGATATCATTTAAATATTTAAAGCTCTGATAAAATTATATTTTTAAAATTTCTTACATTTTTATAAGATTTTTTTTGTTTTTTAGTATGATTTCTTTGACATAAATACTATGCTTTAAGAGATTGTATGGCGTTATTTTGAAATAAAATATTCTAAAAATTTTTCAAACTTTAAGGATATATTTTATAATACATTTATTAATTTATTCATAAGGTACATATATGATAACATCGCCTTCTTAATGTACGACATGTTTTCAAAACTCATAATGATATTTATATAAATAGCCATGAAGGTTTAAGGTATAATTATAAACCATTAATCCACTATTTCTCTAAAAAGAACCATAGAGTGATGCATGAAATATAAGATGTTCTTCAAAAATATTTTTGGACCATCAGGAAAATATAGTAAAATTATTTTAAATACTATGACCATTAAAATATAAAAATATTCGTTAAAAATAGTACGTTGCTGAAAAATTTTCATATTCCAAGCACATATAATATAACATTTAAAATTGATCAATTTCGAAATACTATTGATTTTCTTATCAATACTATATTTTTTAACGAAAATATATTTCATTCAACATGAATATAATTGAAATCGCCATTTTATTAATTGACAAACGTTATGAATTGGCATAATGCATTTATATTCATTTAGCAATACTCAAAACTGCATTTTTTCAATTTACTTAATAAGCTATAGATAAAGAAAATTGATGGCGTTGTTTCAGTATATTTTAAAATACTGTAAACATTATACTGCTACTAATTATAATAATTATATAACTTTCAATAGAGTACATTTTTATAAATGAGTTTTTAAAATGCATTATATTAACTAACAATAGTTGAAGTAAATATTAGAAATAAATTTATAATTACATATAATTGAAATAAACGATGTGTATTTAAAAATTTAAAAACAAGTTATAACTTTCTAATATTATAATTATTATTGATATTAATATTAACATGCATTTTATTTTATTAATAATTACTCATTTTTACTATTAAATATAAAATATTATTGAAAAAAATTCTTATATCAAATTTATATACTAAATTATTGAAATAATTAAAATAAAAAAATATTAAAGTCACTTAGATATCTCGTAAAATTTTGTTAATAATCTCAAACTTGCGCTTCGATATTGTAATAGTAATCATTACAATTAATATTACATTAATAATGTAGTTATGTGTATACTACTATTAAGTATATACTGAGTCGCTGATTATATATATGGAAGAACATGTTTAGCAAAATTTATTCACTTTATGATTTATAAAATTGATGAATGGGACGAGATATTATTTTGATAAATTAAACAACACATGATTCACGAAAGAAATTAAAAGCAGATCAAACTCCACTGAATTTAGTTAAATTAGTCAAATATATGCGCCTATTATTTTACAAGTCTCTTTGACAGAATAATTCGGATTATTTTGTTTTAAAATTTATTGCCATTTTTATTCATATGAAATTGAAATCATAAAAATCAACATTCAAAAGTTGAATTATTTGAACATTTATGTAAATACTCATTTGGGTGCTTGTAAAAATCAATTTATTAATAATATGGGTAATATGTTTAACTCTGAATTCCATTTTCTCTCATATATTTATATTGTACTAAAATTTTCTTCAATAAGAAACGATTTAATGTAATATTTGATAATGAAACTATAACTATAATTATAACTTTAACTATATTTATATATATATATATATATATATATACATATATATATATATATATATATAACTATAACTTTAATTGAATACTTAAGAACTTAATTAAATAAATTATAAGGAATAATTGAAATATATTCTTATCCAACAAAATAACTATGATATTCTTACTTAATTTGTTTTTCCAATAGACAATATAGGTAATGAAAATATTATCTCCAAAAAAAACAATAATCTCTTGAGTTGATTAAAATAAAGTAATTTTCATTTATTTACCTTTATATCATATGAAGTATAAAAAATGAATTATTTTTTAAAATATATTCAAGAATTTATGATGAAATCT